CTGCCACCGGGAGCTGTGCTCCTCAGAGTAGCAGCTTCAGACAAATGGAGGCCTCTTAGAACCAAACTGGAGAACTAGGGTCACTGCTTTGGAGTGAAAAAGAAGCTGAAGATAGCAGACAGCAAGAAAACATAAGCAGTTGACAGAGAACCACTCCCAGAGCTTTTCCAGCCTGTTTTCCTAAGAAAAGGAGCCTTACATGATCATATTGCACATGTATGAGCATGACCGTCAATTCTTCCCAAATAGCTTCAGAGCCCACTGTCCAGTTCTGACCAAATTCACCAAACATTCACAAGACTCAGAGATAATACATTCCTACTGCCCGCAAGAAGACAGGCAGCTGGGTAGAGGTGAGAGATTCTGCTAATATCGTCACTGTGGAAAGAACTGTTGTGTGAACTCGGCCTTCTATCAGATTTAAAGCTATGCAAACCTGATACGCACATTGAAATCAGACCTCATCAGATCTGCCATCTTCATGCAGACACTCACCTTGGCACACGAAGGAAGATGGTGTTTCCCCAGGGTGGACACGTGCAGTGATGAACACCACTTTCTGTTCAGCCCCTGGACGCAGGTTTGCTGCAGCAGAAGAGGGTGGCAGGGGACAGAGGGAAAAAGAGAGATAAAGATCCTTAAACTGGGTGCCATATGTAGGACACAAAGGGCCATTAATATTAAAGCATATCCTTTTATTAAAATTGGTCATACATTATAAATAAGCACAATATATAATTAAAGGAGGCAGTGTCACTAGGTCTCCATACCAGGCCATATAGTAGACTGCACGAGGGCTGCAAAACTAACGACATGCAGCCAAACCTGCAACAACAAAGTTAGCTCTCTTTTTAAAAAACGAGATTTACTACAGTGAGTTTAACTGCACTGTAATTGCGCTCTTACTTGTGATAAATGTCCCCCTGGGGCGACAAGAAGGATCGTGGGGGTCCATTCACAACGCAAAGCCAATTGCACCCTGCATTACACTTGATACAAGCCTTAACAGTGCCAAACAACGGTAAAGTGCTAACAAATAACATTTAATAGGCTTTCCTCTGGGGGACTGGGGGAGGGGTTTTGGGGTTTTTTTTGTTGTTTGTTTTTTTTTTTTTAATCTCTTAACTATTTAGGACTGCATCTGCCCTGACTGAAAGAAATGTTCAAAAACAATGAAGTACGAAAAAGAGACCAGGATTAAATCCAGCAACCTTCTCCAGTGAGGACACAAAAATATGCTGGGTCCCTTTCAAATTACGGAAAGGTGGAAGGGAGATTTAGATCCCAACTCCACTGAACTTAACATTGTTAATCCCTTGGTATTGAGACCACACTGCTTTGGACACTTGCTTTAGCTGTAAACTGTATGGGTCAAGCAGGACGTTTTCTCTGTTTGTGCAAGTGACTGCAGTTAATAAACATGAAATAAAAATTACGCTCTTTCAAAACGTGTCCTGGGAATTTTAAAGACCGTAAGAGGTCAGAACCTCAGTTAGATGCCTTATCTAGATCTGAACACACACAGCAGGGGTAATACTAAACACAGCAGGATCCAATTGCTAGAAACAGTTTAAATCTTTGTTTTGAAATAAAAAAGTTTACACACTGGAAGGAGACTGGAACCTAAATCTAACCTTTTTCTTTTTTTTAATTAGGTAGATGCATTATATACATATGCAAACATAGACCTTTAATTTCAAAGATGTTTGCGAGTCCTCAAGACCATACCTGAGTTATTTTTTTAATTTCCTGAATTCTTAGAAATGCTTAGTTTCCCCAGTGCTAAATCACACCTAACAGCACCACAGGAATAATCAATATATTTTTGGTTGTTCTCAGGAGACAATCTCAGCAGGTTTCTTTTTTATTTCCTTATCCTCTCTAAATGTCCTACAGCTGCTCACTCTGTAACTCAGCCATTCATTTGTTCTTTCATACTTCAGCTTCACCACTCTCTGGTGTTTTTGTGCCCCAGAGGCAAAGAAATATAAGAAAGAATGTCTCTGACAAATATAGCAGCTGGTGGGGTCAATTCTGTCTGCAGAAGAAAAGTAGGAGGTAGCAAAAAGGAATACAACACCATCAGCTAGAAGTAGATGACCACCCCACATCATTTGCATTAACATTAAGTAGTGTGGGAGGAAGAAGATAAATCAGCAAACCAACTTTAACAAGGAAAAGGAGAAGGCTGGAATCACTTTTGCAAGAGGAGAGGAGTTTTCCTCTTCTCTTAGAAAAACAGCATTACATTAAAGGGACAGTGGCTCAGCACAGAAGTGATGCTTAGCAGCATGACTGCCACTGTTTGGAGCTGGAACAGCTCCTTGGTTAGGAAATCTTTTGGACAGAGGATTAGTTCGGGGTTTTTTGTGGCTTTGGCTTTGTTTGGTTTTAATTACAACATTTTTGTTATTTATGCTTTACCCTTCATAACAGTTATTAAAATCATTTGTCAGTTCATTCTCCTCTGGAACTGAAGAGAACTTTCCCAATTTAGGGCTCAGTGCAAAGCTGCTTGGAGTCAATGGGAGATGTGGTACTGGGAGCAAACCAGGACCTCCCTTGCCCACTTCTGTGGGGGATGGAAGAGCACCAAATTACCACCCTGCTCTGAGTGCCAAGCAACTTCACTCCACTCCATTGGCTTCTAATCCCCAATGCATCACTCACTTTCCAGCCCAGCACTTTTGCTGCAGAGTGTGAATGCACAGCCTTGCAACCTACAGACCCTTCCATAGTACCCAGCCTCCTAGACATGCAGTGCTCAAAATGAGCACAGGCACAGCTGGCTGTCCATCTGCATGTAGCTGACGTTTTCTCCAAGTTTGTCAAGCCCAACAATACCTTTATAAATCTTTTTCTTTAAGCAATATCCTGCATTTTTCATACAGAAACAATAAAACACAAGGCATGTGTGACTGACTGTGCGCATGTGTATTTCTTCCTGGTGTCTGGGCTGGATGAAAATATGACCTGTTAACTTTTTTTCTTTTAAGAGTTATTTTCAGTGTTTGGGTTGGAGAAAGTGTGCATCTGCATGAGCAAACAAACATTTCTTAAATGTTTCTGTGAGCGTTTTGGAAAAGCGGATGTCTTTAATGCAGCTTGGAAAGCCCAGAAATTTCAGTAGTGTCTTCTAAATGTGGGTGAATGGTAAAAGTTGTTTTTGTGAGTAAAGTCCCTGCCTAAGTACAAGGCTCTGTGAACGTATGGGAGGAAACTAAACTGGCAGACAAGTTCTGCAGGTCCTCTTCAATCCCAATTCAGCTACTCTGAAAATGCTGGTAAAAGAGAAACATACGAGGCAACATGGATGCCCATTAGCAAACCTATGGGACAAGGTGCACCAAGAGCTTCCAATACCAACCAAAGACTAGTTCATACTTAATACCGTAACACCTAAGAGTTTGAGACGGAGACTTTGAACCCAGCTGGCGCAGGGCATGCATTATTTACAGGCTAGGTTCCCAGCCCGAACCCTAACCCAGCATCAGCACATTACAACCCATCCGTCCAGACATCCCAGGGGTGGCATTGGAAGTCATATATTCAGCCTCACACGCTTGCCTTGGTCTCCATAACATCCTGTGATAAAAGAAACGGCAAGTATGTATGTGCACGCACATACCTCCAAACACTCCCCTAAGTCCAAACAGCAACGGTGCTGTCTTCTCTCTCTGTGGTTTTATACATAACATAAAAATTGAGAGGATTAAAGAAAAAAGAAAGCAAGCATAACTATGATCAGGCTACGGTAGTCATGTTTTAAAAAAAACCCAAACAACCAACGCCGCCCAAGAACAACAAAAAACCATGCTTTGTGTTCTTTTTTCTTTACCAGTTGCGGTGGGTGTCCGTGCCCAGGTGCCGGCAGCGGGGCTGCAGGGCTGAGCTCTCTGAGGAGAGGCTGGGCTGCCCCGTGGCCGGTCACGGCCGGTTCCGGCCAGCTCCGCACCTGCCCCACTCCCAGGCACAGCTGAGCCCCTCAGCCACGGTGGTGGCACCTCCTTGAAAGCGCTTTTAAGGAAGGGCAGAAAAGCCACACAGGCAGGGAGGAGTGCGAGGGAGAAAGCGAGGAACAGCCCCGTGAGCAGCAGGGTCGGAGGAGGGGAGGGCGTGCTCCAGCTGCGGGGGCAGAGACTCCCCTGTGCCCGCTTGGAGAGAGGAATGTGTTGGTTTAATTTTTCTCTTTGATTCTCACTAAACAAGTCTATTTTAATTGTCAATAAATTAAATTAATTTTTCCCCAAGTCAAGTGTGCTTTGCCCACGATGGTAATTGGTAAGTGATATCCTTGTCTTTATCTTGACCCATGAGCTTTTTCGCCTTATTTTCTGCCCCTGCCCTGTAGAAGAGGGAGCAGCTGGGTGGGCGTCTGGCAGCTGGCCAAGGTTAACCCACCAAACCAATAACGGATACAGATACAACAACTACGAAACACCATTTCATATTTTAATTTAAATGTTACGTTGAAAACACATCCTATTTTCTACTTCAGGATTGAAAAGATTAGAATTGTATAGCTTTGTTCAGTAGATGCCAAAAGCACTTAAGCAAAATGACAGAAAGGCACCCTCCATTTAGCCACAACTTTACCAGTTGTGGAAATGCAGAGAAATAGTCTGTTGTGGTACCCCTTCTACTCTTCCAGCTGCCATCGCAGTGAATCTTAGAAACAAAAGTATTTGATGAAAAAGTTTTCCAAGGGAAGAATTTTATAGACTTCTGGAATTATTTCTTTTTCATTTTCTCTTCCAGAAAGTATCTGGAAGACTGACTTAAACATTTTCTTTTCCCTCTGAAGGCTACCACTGCCATCATCACTGATAGCATTTGCCTTGACTTAAGAATCTGACTGGGACCTAAACAACCACCCACCACGTGTTACGCCCTCACAGCCTGCTACGCACCCACCACCCCCCTCGCTCTGCTGCAGAGAGTTCCCTTGGGCAAAGCTGTGAAGATTTAAGGTGCTAGTCAGAATAAACAACACTAACCTCAACATCTATTCTGGCTCTAAAGCTACCACGATGGTGATAAACACCAAGCGAATGTCATACTGAAAAGAAACCCAGGTAGCTACAAGCAAGCAACTCGGGTCTCTCACTCTGACTATCACTTGTGCCGTTTGGCCCTCAACTGATGCTCCTTCTCCTCTAATGCTATAGCATGTACAAGCCAACCACACTTAAAGCAATCCCACTGGCAACACTGCCCCAGCTCTCACCTGGGAAAGAG